AAAAAAAAAAAAAAAGCCAGGCGTGGTGGCTCATGCCTGTAATCCCAGCACTTTCGGGGAGGCCAAGGCAGGCAGATCACCTGAGGTCAGGAGTTCAAGACCAGCCTGGCCAACATGGTGAAACCCCATCTCTACTAAAAATACAAAAAATTAGTCAGGCATGATGGTGAGAACCTGTGATCCCAGCTACTTAGGAGCCTGAGACAGGAGAATTGCTTGAACCCAGGAGGCAGAGGTTGCAATGAGCTGAGATCATGCCATTGCACTCTAGCCTGAATGACAGAGCAAGACTCTGTCTAAAAAAATCAAAAACAGGAAAAGCAACCCAATTATGTGACACTAGAAGATAAATAGCAACCCAATTATATGACACTAGAAGATAAAACTGCCCTAATCTGTGTATGGCTGTTTTTAAAGGTGGAAAGGAAGTTAATATACTTCCAGAGGAAGACCTGAGAGGGTACCTGAAGAGATACCAGGAAAATACTGAAAACATGCCACCAAGCCCTCTTCAAAAAAAGAGTCTCCTCATTAGGAAAGCTGCCATTTTATTTTGTTTTATTTTATTTATTTTTTTGAGATGGAGTTTCACTCTTGTTCCCCAGTCTGGAGTGCAGTGGCACAGTCTCAGCTCACTGCAACCTCTGCTTCCCAGGTTCAAGTGATTCTCCTGCCTCACTCTCTCAAGTAGCTGGGATTACAAGCACCCACCACCACACCCAATTAATTTTTTTTTCTGTATTTTTAATGGACATGGGGTTTCAACATGTTGGCCAGGCTGGTCTTCAACTCCTGACCTCAGATGATCCAACTGCCTCAGCCTCCCAAAGTGCTGGATTAAAAGCGCCCAGCTGAAAGTTGCCATTTTAATGTTCGTGTGAGTCAGGTAGGGAATTGCTAGTCATTGCTATGAATGGTGGATACTTTGACAAATGCTTTAAGGATATCACCATGTTCTTGCATTTGCTGCTCAGAAAATTATAACCTTAGACAAATATCTTCACGCTGAGCCTCAGTTTTTTTTTATCTCTAAAATAAAAATACATATGCACAGATTTATATTTTTAAGATTGAGCTATTCCTTTAATAGTTTAAGGTTTAAAAAAAGAAAAAATGAAATAAATTTTTAAAAATTTTTAAAGATTGGGTCAGATAATACCTTCCAACTCATTGATTGATGGATGACAGTCATCTCTCCATCTGTAAATAGTGGATTCATGAGGGAGAATGTGTGGTATGGTAACAAAAATATGGGCTCTGCAGTCTGCAATTCAATGCAATTCCCATCAAAATACTACCATCATTCTTTACAGAACTAGAAAAAAACAATCCTAGCCTGGGCTTTGTGGCTTATGCCTGTAATCCCAGCATTTTGGGAGCCAGAGGTGGGTGGATCACCTGAGGTCAGGTTAGAGACCAGCCTGGCCAAACATGGTGAAAACCCATTTCTACTAAAAATACAACAATTAGCTGGGCGTGGTGGCACACCCTGTGATCCCAGCTACTTAGGAGGCTGAGACACAAGAATCACTTGAACCGAGGAGGTGGAGGATACAGTGAGCTGAGATCGCGCCACTGCACTCCAGCCTGGGTAACACAGCAAGGCTCTGTCTCAAAACAAAACAAATAAACAAAAAAAGAGTATTGTAATCCCAGAACTTTGGGAGGCCAAGGTGGTGGATCACAAGGTCAAGAGATCGAGACCATCTTGGCCAACATGGTAAAACCCTGTCTCTACTAAAAATACAAAAATTAGCTGGGCGTGGTGGTGCGCACCTGTAGTCCCAGCTACTTGGAGGCTGAGCCAGGAGAATCGCTTGCATGAAGGAGGCAGAGGTTGCGGTGAGCTGAGATTATGCCACTGCACTCCAGCCTGGCATTAGAGCAAGATTCCATCTCAAAAAAAAAAAAAAAAAAAAAAAAAAAGAAGAAGTAGAAAAGAAAAAACAATTCATATGGAAACAAAAAAGAGCCTGCATAGCCAAAGCAAGACTAAGCAAAAAGAATAAATCTGGAGGCATCACATTACCTGATTTTAAACTATACTATAATGCCATAGTCACCAAAAAAGCATGGTACTGGTGTAAAAATAGGCACATAGACCAATGGAATAGAGAACCCAGAAATAAACCCAAATATGTATAGCCAACTGATCTTTGACAAAGCAAACAAAAACATAAAATGGGAAAGGACACCCTATTCAACAAATTGTGCTGGGATAATTGGCAAGCCACATGGAGAATGAAACTGGATCCTCATCTCTCACCTTATACAAAAATCAACTCAAGATGGATCATGGACTTAAATCTAAGAATGGAAACTATGAAAATTCTAGAAGATAACATCAGAAAAACTCTTCTAGCCATTGGCTTAGGCAAAGATTTCATGACCAAGGACCCAAAAGCAAATGCAACAAAAACAAAGATAAATAGGTGGGACTTAATTAAACGAAAGAGCTTTTTGCACAGCAAAAGGAAGAGTTTGCAGAGTAAACAGCCCACAGATTGGGAGAAAATCTTTATATCTATATATCTGACAAAGGACTAATATCCAGAATCTACAAAGAACTCAAATCAGCAAGAAAAAAACAAATCCCATCAAAAAGTGGGCTAAGGGCATGAATAGACAATTCTCAAAAGAAGATATACAAATGACCAACAAATATATGAAAAAATGCTCAACATCACTAATGATCAGGGAAATACTTATCAAAACCACAGTTCGATACCACCTTACTCCCACAAGAATGGCCATAATTGAAAAATAAAAAAAATAATAGATGTTACATGGATGTGGTGAACAGGGAACACTTCTACATTGCTGATGGGAATGTAAACTAGTACAGCCACTATGGAAAACAGTGTGGAGATTCCTTAAAAAACTAAAAGTAGAACTATCATTTGATTCAGCAGTCCCACTACTGGGTATCTACCCAGAGGAAAAGAAGTTATTATACAAAAAAGATACTGGCACCCACATGTTGATTGCAGCACAATTCACAATTGCAAAAATATGGAACCATCCCAGATGCCCATCAACAAATGGATTAAAAAATGTGATATATAGATATCCACACACACAATAATGGCATTTGCAGCAACCTGGATAGAACTGGAGACTATTATTCTAAGTGAAGTAACTGAGGAATGGAAAACCAAACATCATGTGTTCTCCCTCATAAGTGGGAGCTAAGCTATGAGAATGCAAAGGCATAAGAATGATACAGTGCGCCATGCACGGTGGCTCATGCCTGTAATCCCAACACTCTGGGGGGCTGAGGCAGGGGGATCATCTAAAGTCAGGAGTTCAAGACCAGCCTGTCCAACATGGTGAAACCTCATCTCTACTGAAAATACAAAAATTAGCCGGGTGCGGTAGCAGGCACTGTAATCCTGGCTACTCGGGAGGCTGAGGCAGGAGAATTTCTTGAACCCAGAAGATGGAGGCTGCAGTGAGCCGAGATCATGCCACTGCACTCCAGCCTGGGTGACAGAGCAAGACTCCATCTCTGGAGAAAAAAATAAAAAAAAAGAATGATACAGTGGACTTTGGGGACTCGGGGTGGGGGAAGAATGGGAAGGGGTAAGGGATAAATGGCTACAAATTGGGTTCAGTGTATACTGCTTGGGTGATGGCTAAACTAAAATCTCACAAATTACCACTAAAGAGTTTATTCATGTAACCAAATACAACCTGTTCTCCAAAAACCTAAGGAAATGAAGAATTTTAAAAAATAAAATATGAGAATTTAAAAAAACTTTAAAAAAAGGAATATGGGCTCTGGAATCATAGACCTGATTTACTATTTGACCTGTTTGGGTTAAAAGGGAAAATACTAGCACATGAGTATCCTAGATTACAATAAAATATAGTTTAGAAATAGAATTACTAGAAGTTAGAGTTGTTAAGCATACTTTGTCTTATTTTGTTATTATTTAAATTGAATATTTCCTACAACATTCCCTAATGAAGCTTATTTTTATCAACATGTGTATATGTATACACATACATACTACTACTCAATGCAACTTGTAAACAATTAAACTTTGTAAGCAATAAAACTTGTTTACAAAGAAACAGTGACTTCTACTGAATGATTTTTGAAGGTTCTGAGGCATTTTTTCTAAAGAGAAATTTCTAACTGAGCGGTGCCATGCCACCTAGTGACAGCTTCATAAAGTACAGTTATTAGGCTTAAAACGAATTAAGTTTCCAAGGGTATCTTCATTCAATGTTGGGCTAAACATTTTGGAGGGATTTAAATGTAAAGCATTTTTTCTCTATATAAATAAATAAAATACACCTTCGATTACTGAAAAACTTTCCTCTTGATAGAATATTCAGTAAATTTCCATGACCATTAACTGTCTGATTCATAACACTTGAGACTGTTTAAACTTCTTAGATTATTCAGTCTCTACGAGATGACAAAGAATGTTTGCTCGACCAAACTTTAGTCAGGCTCCTGAATCTTCTTCTAGTCCCATCTGTGCACTTCCTTGCAAATCCCATTTTAGCAAAGAACGCTGCTGCGTCAGTTTAGCAAGAAGCCCCCACCGTCCATATCTGATCATCCTCAATATCCAATCAGGTTCCTCACCCTTCATCATCCCCCAGAGATTATGTATCATCATCCCGGCCTGTCTTCAGCAAGAATATTGTTAGGTCAGTTTAGCCAGAATCTCCCTTACCCCTGAGGTTTTTGTCACAGTAATTTTCCATTCATTGACCTGCTTCTTGGCTATAAATTCCCACTACTTGCACATGCCGTATTCAG